TTAGAAACATCGATGAGAGAGAAACATCGATCAGCTGCCTCCTGCACACTCCCTACTGGGGATGTGCCCGCAACCAAGGTACATGCCCTTGACCGGAATCGAACCCGGGACCCTTGAGTCTGCAGACTGACGCTCTATCCACTGAGCCAAACCAGCTAGGGCTGCTTCCTTGTATTTCAAATCTTTGACTTTATTCTTGGGATCCTCTAGTCTACTGTTGAATCTCTGTATTTATTTCAGTCAGTGTATGCCTAATTTCCGACTGGTCCTTTTTCCTTTTTATTTTTTTTGGCATTCTCAGTAAGATCCTTGAAGGTTTCTAGAAGATTTTTGAATAACCTTATAACCATGATTTTGAACTCTATATCCAGTATTTTGCTTTTATCCAGTTCTTTCATTTTTGACATGTTTCTTTGTCTCCGCATTTTGGCTGCTTCCCTGTGTTGGTTTCTATGTATTGGGTAGCTGCTAAGTCTCCTTGAGTTGATAGAGTGACCTTGTGTGGTAGGTGTCCTATAGGACCCAGTGGCTCAGCCTCCCCAGTCACCTGAGGTGGCCGCTCTTGGTGCACCCCTTTGTGGGCTGTGTGCACAGTTTTGTTGTAGTTAAGCCTTGATTGCTGTTGGTATTACTGGGAGGAATTGACCTCCAGGCTGATTGGCTGTGAGTACCAGCTATGTTTACACTGGAAGAGCTGCTGTGCAGGAGACACCCTTTAGGGGCAGGACTTGCTTCAGTGGGGCTTTGGTGCTCACTGAGTGTGCCCCTGGAATGTGTCTCTTATGGATGTGAAGAGTTATAATCCAGTATGGTCTCACACTGACCACTGGGTACACTGGCTCTTGAATCTCCAAGGAGATACAAAGTCAGCCACTGTCTGGGGCCACCCAGCAGGAGCTATAGAGAGATCTTCAGATTCTTCCTCTTTGTATTGGGTTTGGAAGTGCCCAGACAAGGCCCAGCTTCGTAACAAGGCAGGCTGCTGCTGCTGGATTGATTGCTTTGGGGCTCCCTGACCCAGCTGCTGCCTGTTTGACAGGTTTTAGGCTGAGAAAGGACTGGCCATTCATATGCAAAAGCCACTGTGCACAGCTTGGATGGGGTTGTAAATTGGGTGGGGCTGGGTCTCAGGGTATCACCAGGGTGGAGCAAACAGCAATGGCTGCCAGTCAGCCCTGCACTGGAGAGGTCCCCGCATCCCCACCTCCCTGCACAGGAATAATGATTGCTGTAAGCACCTCTAAAAGAAAGCCACCCTTGCATTCCTGTCCCTATGCCAGACAGTCCAGTTTCTCCTGTATGAGTCTGGGTCACCCAGAGTCTTGCCTGGAACTGGAGTTCAGAGCAAGCTGGAGCTTGTATCTCCCTCCCGATTGAAAAAGCTGTACACCTGGGTGCCAGCCTGTTCTGCGCATCCGCACTGCCTACCAGTCTCAATGTGCTTTCTTCATCTCTCTAGTTGTGGAACTTCCACTCTTCCAGCTTTCCTGTGGTTCTGGATGATAGTTGTTCTGCCTTTTAGATGTAATTTTGATGTGGTTGTGAGAAGCAGCAAGTATAGGTGTTTACTTATGCCACCATCTTGGCTTTCTTCAGTAACCCAGTTATTATTTAACTAGAGGCCTGGTGCACAAAAATTTGTGCACTCGGGGGGTGGGGGGGGTCCCCTCAGCCGGCCTGTGCCCTCTCGCAGCCTGGGACCCCTTGGAGGATGTCCATCTGCTGGCTTAGGCCCGCTCCCCAGGGGATCGGGCTTAAGCTGGCAGTCAGACATCCCCCCTCTGGCAGCCCAGGAGCCCTTGGGGGATGTCCACTTGCCAGCAGGGAGCAGACCTAAGCTGCAGTCGGACATCCTTAGCGCTGCTTAGAGCCTCTCCCGCCACCACCGCTGTGCTGGCAACCATCAGCCTGGCTTGTGGCTGAGCAGAGCTCCCCCTGTGGGAGTGCACTGACCACCAGGGGGCAGCTTCTGCATTGAACGTTTGCCCACAGGTGGTCATTGTGTATCATAGTGACCAGTCTTTCCCAGTCGTTCTGCTGTTAGGGTCAATTTGCATATTACCCTTTTAGTATATAGGATAGCATGCTATTCAGCCTCCAAGTGTTTGAATTTTTTTTATTGTTTTTATTTTAGTTGATTTCTAAAATTTTGCCATTGTGGTCTGAGAAGATGCTTGATATGATTTCAATCTTCTTGAATTTTGAGAGACTTTGCCTATGACCCAATATGTGGTCTATCTGAAAATGTTTCATGTGCACTTGAGAAGAATGTATATTCTGTAGCTTTGGGATGAAATGTTCTGAAGATGTCAATTAAGTCCATCTGACCTTGTGAGTCATTTAGGATTGCTGTTTCTTCGCTGATTTGTTGTCTAGAGGATTTATCTAGTGATGTCAGTGGGGTATTAAAGTCCCCTACTATGATCGTATTGCTGTCGATCTCTCCCTTGATATGTTACAGAAGTTTTTTTTTAATGTATTTGAGTGCTCCTGGATTGGGTGCATATATGTTTACCAGAATTATATCCTCTTGTTATATTGATCTCTTTAGTATTATAAGGTGGCCGCCTTTATTTCTTGTTATGGCCTTCACTTTGAGGTCTATTTTGTCAGATATAAGTATTGCTACCCTGGCTTTTTTTTTTGTTTTGTTTTTTTCATTTCTATTTTCCTGAAAGATATTTTTCATCCCTTCACTTTCAGTCTGTGTGAGTTTCTTGTTCTGAGGTGGGTCTCTTGTAGACAGCATATGTATGGGTCATGTTTTCTTATCCATTCAGCCACTTGGTGTTTTTTGATTGGAGCAGTTAGGCTATTTACGTTTAAAGTTATTGATAAGTACTTGTTTATAGCCATTTTTATTTTTTGTGCCATGTTCCTTCTTCCCTTTTGTTTTTCTTCTTTTTACATCAGTCCCTTTAGCATTTCCTGCATTGCTGCCTTGGTACTGATAAACTTCCTTAGCCTTTTTTTGTTTGTGAAGCTCCTGATTTCTCCTTCAATTTTGAATGATAGCCTTGTTGGATAGAGTATTCTTGGATTCAGTCCCTTGCTTTTCATCACTTTGTATACTTCCTTCCATTCCTTTCTAGCCTGATGTGTTTCTGTTGAGAAATCATTTGATAATGTGATGGGAGATCCATTGTAGGTAACTGTCTGTCTCTCTCTTGCAGCCTTTAACATTCTCTCTTTGTCATTAACAGTTGCCATTGTAATTACGGCGTGTCTTGGTGTGGGTCTTTTGGGGTTCGTCTTGGTTGGGACTCTCTGTGTGGCTTTTTTCTTCCTCAATTCAGGGAAGTTTTCTTACATTATTTCTTCAAATAGGTTTTCTAACCCTGGCTCCTCCTCTTGTCCTTCTGGCACCCCTATATACGTATGTTGCTTCGTTTTATTTGTCCCAAAGCTCCCTCAGGCTCTCCTGTCTTTCGACTTTTTTTTCTCCAATTTTAGTTCAGATTGGGTGTGTTTTGCTTGCCTGTCTTTTAATTTGGTAATTCAGTCTTCCGCTTTCCTAGTCTACTGTTGAAAACATCCATAATGTTTTTTATTGTAGCAATATCACTCTTTATTTTCTCCTGATTCTTACATAGGTTGTTGATTTTCTCATTCCTCCGGTTTATGAACTGTATGACCCTTATGCATAAGTCTTTTTTTCTGACACATTGCATGCCTCCGTTTCATTATTTCCTTTTCTGGCTGTTCCTTCTTTTCTTTCCTTTGGCGGGGGTTCTTCTGTCTCCCCATTTTTGCTCTCACCAAATGATCTAGGTGTTGAGACATGTGGGGCCTGTGGCTGCAGCTTGTGGTTGGTGGCAGGTTGCCTTGTCGTGGGTGGCAGCTGCTCCTCGGGCGGTTGCGGGTGGTGGCTGCTCCTTGGGTGGTTGTGGGGCAGCTGCTCCTTGTGTGGTTGAGGGGCCACTGCTCCTTGTGTGGTCTTGGGCAGCGGCTGCTCGTGGGGCAGCCGCTCCTCACGCAGTCTTGGGCAGCTGCTCCTTGCATGGTAGTCGGGTGGCTCCTCCTTGGGTGGTCACAGGTGGTGGCTGGCCCTCGGCAGTTATGGGGCTGCTGTTCCTCATGTGGTTACGGGTTGCGGCTGCTCCCTTGGGAGTTCCCGCAGTGGCTGCTCCTTGCGCGTTTGCAGGGTGGCTGCTTCTCGGGCCATCGTTGGTGGTGGCTGCTTGCAGGTCAACTGCTCCTCTGGTGGTTGTGGGCTGCGGCTGTTCCTCTCGTGGTTGCAAGGCGACAGCTCCTCGTGCTGTCGCTGGTTGACGACTGCTCCTTCGGGGGCTCACGGGACAGCGGCTGCTCCTCGGGCAGTGGTGGGCAGGGGCTGCTGGTGCGGTCTTGGTGTCCAGGGCTAAAGGGTCTGGTAGGCAGGAGGGGTGCTCGCTCCGGAACTCACAGTAGCCCTCAGAGGGGAGGCTGGAGTCCCAGTGTCCGTGGGTCGGCAGCTGAGGCAACAGGTCTCTGGCCAGAGTAGCTGTAGGATCCTGGGTGGTGTCTGAGGGCCCCGTTGGTGGAGGTGAGGCTGTGCTCCCAGTCATAGCAGCTCTCCACTTCAAGATGGCACAGCCTCTGTGGCAGAGCCAGTGCTCTGGGAGAGATTGCAGCAGTAGCAGAGGCTACCCAGCTAGGGAAGCCTGGCCCGTTAGCCCTCGAAGGTCCTGCAAGATCTAGCTGTCCCTCACTCAGACACATACACATACACACACACCACACGTCCACACACTCTCCTTTTGCTCCCTCATTTACACTCTCCCTCACTACCATCCTTTTGGCCACCATCCTAAATGTTCATTTTTTTGTTATTCAATATGAAGTCCTTTTTCTCTCCTGATAACTAGATACAGTATATACAGAATGTCAAAGGCAGGGTTTGATTTATTGTTTAAAGAATGAACCAATTACAGTTATTTTTGCTTTATACTAGGATTATCTAGGCAAAAAATAAATTAAATGAATAGAATTGAATATAATAGTATGTTTCTGTTTTCCAGTGAAAGCTGGGAAGAATGTGCTCAAAGGGAAACCTGGGAAGAAGCAGCTCTTCACCTGAAAAATGTTCGTTTTGCTTCGGTTGTGAATTCTTTCATTGAGAAGGAGAATTACCATTATGTCACTATATTAATGAAAGGAGAGGTGGATGTGACTCATGATTCAGAACCTAAGAATGTAGAGCCTGAAAAAAATGAAAGTAAGAGAATTATCTATAGTAATGCATTTTTAAATTTAGACAAGTAAATCTTCTGAAGGAATATTACATTATGTTGCCACATAGATTCTCTTCATATGGAAATATAGATATTCTTAAGTCCTGGAATCACAAGGATATAACAGGAAAGAGAACTGGCTCCTGAGTTGGTTTGTATTTTGATTCTTCCACTTAGAAATTTGTGATCTTGGAGAAGTTATTATCTTCTATGCCTCCTTTCTCATCTGTGATAATAGTAACTACCTCAGATGGGTTGTTGTAAGGGGAAAATGAGTTAATGCATTTAAGAACCTTGTGAGCACAATAAGTATTCAGTAAGTATTAGTTTTATTGTTAGTATTTAATTTTTTTTACAAACTATAATTTTAAGTAAAACATTTAATGTGTCTTTCTCAGTTTTCTCACCTGTGCAAGAGAGGTAATAATTTTCTTTTCTAGGGGATGATTAACCTGACAAAACAGTTATCTGTTCCTGCTGTGTTGAATTGAGTGCTCTGGAAATTTTAATGGCAATAACTGATGTTTATTATTTATTCCATGTTAAGCATTCTTCCAAGGGGTTTACATATTTCATCTCTTCAAATCTGATGAAAGGAACTAAAGAGAAAAATATCAAACTTACTGATTATATTATTTTCCATATGAAACTTTATGCAAGTGGTCTCATGTGATGGAAGTATTTAATTTCTTTTCTCTTATGGAAGACTGTTTTTATTCAGTAAATACCCACTGAGAACTGTGTGCTGGACACTGTTCTAGAGAGGCACTAAAGAAACAGTGGTGTATAGAATGAAGTCCCTGACCTCCTGGGATTTGCAATTTAGTCGGGGGAAAGGCGGCAATTTAGCAGATATTTTATAATTATAATGATAAGGAATAAGAAGGAAAAACTGTATAAGGGTAGTGGTGCATGTGTGCTGTGTTAGGAAGGGCCTTTGAGAAGGGGACATGTATACAGAGGCTTGGAGGAAGTGATATTTATAGAATGAATAAATCATATCTAACCTGTTTTAGAGATTAATTTGATTGAATGAACAGAAGCAATGTTCCACTCAAAGGTCTATTGAGTCATACAAATTTTTTAAAAAGTAACTACTTGGAATCACCTAAAATGAACTAGCAAAGTCTGAGCTGAGTTGTTTTTACTCACAACACTTTGGACACCAAATAGGTGTTTTTCCCCTCAGACCAACCAATTCTCCAACTCTCCAAAAATCAACTGGATGGCCTATATTTCAATTCAGTTCTGACACTATCTATCCAGAGTTGCCATCAGATCCCAAAAGTTAAAGAGCTCAGTACCAATTTCTTCAAACACCATGCAGAAATTACACCTGACCTCCTGTAATTTTGACCACATAACTGTACATCAGGGGTTCCCATAGCTCCTTCTCAGGTTTAATAATTTGCCAAAATGGCCCACAGAACTCAGAAAAATGTTTTACTTACATTACCAGTTTCTTATAAAGATTATAACTCAGGAACAGACAAATGGAAGAGATGCATAGGGTGAGGTATCTGGGATGGGTAAGGAGCTTTCATGCCCTCTCCAGGTTGGCATGCTACCCTCCCAGCATCTTGATGTGTTCACAAAACTGGAAGCTCTCCAAACTGAGTTGTGTAAGGTTTTTACGAAGGTTCCATTATATAAGAACTTATGATAGCCAGTTAGCCTGGAGGTCAAATCACCCCCACTATTGCTGACAACAATCAAGGCTTAACTACAACAAGACTTCGCACAAAGACCACTAGGGGGTGCACCAAGAAAAGATAAAAAAATGCGGAGACAAAGAAACAGGATGCAAATGTCAGAAATGGAAGATATAGAGCTCAAAACCACACTTTTAAGGTCTCTCAAGAACTGTCTAGAAGCTGCCGATAAACTTAGTAAGGCCCTCGAAAAGACTGGTGAGACCGCCGATAAATGTAGTGAGATCCTCAAGAAATCTAATGAGACCCTCGATATTGTGATAAAGAACCAACTAGAAATTAAGCATACATTGACTGAAATAAAGAATATTGTACAGACACCCAACAGCAGACCAGAGGAGCGCAAGAATCAAGTCAAAGAGTTGAAATGCGAAGAAGCAAAAAACATCCAACTGGAAAAGCAAAATGAAAAAAGAATCCGAAAATACGAAGATAGTGTAAGGAGCCTCTGGGACAGCTTCAAGCGTACCAACATCCGAATTATAGGGGTGCCAGAAGATGAGAGAGAGCAAGATATTGAAAACCTATTTGAAGAAATAATGACAGAAAACTTCCCCCACCTGGTGAAAGAAATAGACTTACAGGTCCAGGAAGCGCAGAGAACCCAAAACAAAAGGAACCCAAAGAGGACCACACCAAGACACATCATAATTAAAATGCCAAGAGCAAAAGACAAAGAGAAAATCCTAAAAGCAGCAAGAGAAAGAAACTCAGTTACCTACAAGGGAATACCCATACGACTGTCAGCTGATTTCTCAACAGAAACTTTGCAGGCCAGAAGGGAATGGCAAGAAATATTCAAAGTGATGAATACCAAGAACCTACAACCAAGATTACTTTATCCAGCAAAGCTATCATTCAGAACTGAAGGTCAGATAAAGAGCTTCACAGATAAGGAAAAGCTAAAGGAGTTCATCACCACCAAACCAGTATTATATGAAATGCTGAAAGGTATCCTTTAAGAAGAGGAAGAAGAAGAAAAAGGTAAAGATACAAATTATGAACAACAAACATGCATCTATCAACAAGTGAATCTAAGAATCAAGTGAACAAATAATCTGGTGATCATAATAGAATCAGGGACATAGAAAGGGAATGGACTGACTATTCTTGGGGGGGAAAGGGGTATGGGAGATGCGGGAAGAGACTGGACAAAAATCGTGCACCTATGGATGAGGACAGTGGGTGGGGAGTGAGGGCGGAGGGTGGGGCGGGAACTGGGAGGAGGGGAGTTATGGGGGGAAAAAAGAGGAACAAATGTAATCTGAACAATAAAGATTTAATTAAAAAAAAAAAGAACTTATGATTGATTAAATTACCGTCTATTGATGGTTGTCTCAATCTCCTTTTCCCTCCCCTAAGGTAGGGCTGAAAGTTCCAACCCTCTAATTAAGCCTTGGTCTTTCTGGTGACTAGCCCCCATCCTGAAGCTATCCAGGGGCCCCCAGCTACCAGTCATCTTATTAGCATAAAATTATGGTTGAAAGGGGTATTTTGTGGATAACAAAGATGATTCTCTCGTCTCTGTCACTCAGGAAATTACAAAGGGTTTAGGAACTCTGCCAGGAAAAAGGGATGAAGACCAAATATATATATTTCTTATATCACTTATCACACCAAGAAACGCCTCAAAAGTATCCAGAGGTCTTCAGTTGGCGTAGGATAAATTTTTCATGCCCAAAGAAGTGGAAGGCTGCCTGGCCAGCATGGCTCAGTGTTTGAATGTCAACCTATGAACCAGGAGGTCATGTTTCCATTCCCGGTCAGGGCACATGCCCGGGTTGTGGGCTTGGTCCCCAGTAGGAGGTGTGCAGGAGGCAGCTGATCAATGATTCTCTCTCATCATTGATATTTCTATCTCTCCCTCTTCCTTCCTGTCTGAAATCAATAAAAAATAAAAAAAAGTGGAAGGCAGGAGAAGTAGGTAAGAAGTGGCTCAGTGGGTTCATTGGGGTATTCTCTACAAGTCCCTCTTATCTTTCACATCCCTAATTATCCCACATAAAATGAGGAACTGGAGAGGGGAGAGCTCAGAACAATAATAGTGGAAACAAAAACCAATAGTCTTGACACTCTGAAGCTGTAGGGAGAGGCAGTTAATTGGCTCCTTAGTATTACATTTAAATTTATATATGTATATTTCCATTTTAGTTCTTTTGGTAGGACTCAATTTACTTTTTTTGAAGAAAGGTATATTACATAACCTGGCCAGCATGGTTCAGTGGTTGAGTGATGACATATGAACAGGAGGTTATGGTTCAATTCCTGGTCAGGGCACATACCTGGGTTGCGGGCTTGATCTCTGGTAGGGGTGGGGTGCTGCAGGAGGCAGCCAATCAATGATTCTCCCTCGTCGATGTTTCTATCTCTCCCTTCCTCCCTCTCATAAGATAAATAAAAACATAAAAATTAAAAAAAATATTACATATAACTGCATTTTAAAAAATTAGTTTTGAGGTATAATTTATTCAGGTAATAAGCACTGATTATTATTTTAAGATTAGAGGCTCAGTGCACAAGATTCGTGCACTTGGGGCAGGGTGTCCCTCAGCCCGGATTGCGAGAGGGCTCAGGCCAGGCCGAGGGACTCACTGGTGCACGATCAGGGCTGGGGAGGGACACAGGAGGGCACCAGGCATGCCCAGCCCATCTTGCTCAGTCCCGATTGGCCAGACCCCAGCAGCAAGCTAACCTACCGGTCGAAGTGTCTGCCCCCTGGTTGTCAGTGCATGTCATAGTAACTGGTCGACCAGTTGACTGTCTGCCCCCTGGTGGTCAGTGCACATCATAGCGAGCAGTTCAGCGGCCTTAGCATATCATTAGCATATTACACTCTGATTGGTTGAATGGCTGACTGGATGACCGGACACCTAGCATATTAGGCTTTTATTATATAGGACTAGAAATCTGGTGCATGAAATTCATGCACTGTGGGCGGGGGCCTCAGTCTGGCCTGCACCCTCTCGCAGTCCAGAGTCCCCTCCCCCGCCCCCCCCCCCCCCCGGGAAGCGGGCCTAAGCCAGCAGTCAGACATCCCTCTTACAGTCCAGGACCCTTTGCTCCTTACCGCCTGCCTTCTCACTGCTCCTTACTACTTGGCTTGCTGCTCCTTAGTGCTGCCATGGTGGCGGGAGAGGCTCCCACCACTGCCGCTGCACTCTCCAGCTGTGAGCCTGGCTTCTGGCTGAGCGGCCCTCCCCCTGTGGGAGCGCACTGACCACCAGGGGGTAGAGCATCTGTCCCCTGGTGGTCAGTGCACATCACAGTGACCAGTCATTCTGGTCATTCCGCCATAACAGTTGCTTAGGCTTTTATTATATAAACTAGAGGCCTGGTGTACAAAAATTTGTTCACTCGGGGGGGAGAGGGGGTCCTGCCGGGGTCCAGCCCCAGCAGGTCCAGGGGTTCCCCGTAGGTGTGGACGGAGTCGGCGAAGAAAGAATGACACAGGCAGCGTTCAGGTGATCATCATAGCCGGGTTCTCTTGTCAGGATCTCCAGTGAAGTTCACCAGGTTCTCCAGGTTCTCCAGTGAAGTTCTGGTTAGGAGCTCCAGCCAAGTTCTGTGTCCATGTTCTCTTGCTAGGTTCTCCAGGTTCTCCAGCCAGGTTCTGTAGCCATGTTCCCTCGCTAGGTTCTCCAGCCAGGTTCAGTCACCAGGTTCTAGTCAGGTTCGCTTGCCAATTTCTGTAGTCAGGTTCAGTCCAGGATCTTTTGCCATGTTCTCTCCAGCGCAGTTCTTCTGTCTCTAGGTTCTGTGTAGGTTCTGTCTTCTTCCTTCTGTCTTCTGAGTTCTGTGTCTTGCTGTCTTATTACATCTGTATTTATACCAGTTGATTCAATCCTATCAATCTCTATTACAAAGGTTAGGGCGTTTCTTATCTCCATTCCAGGGAGTAAAGATTATGTAGCTTAAGCATGATTGTTCATAGTTAAAGTGATTAATTACCCGCCTGGCACTTAGTTAAGAGGTTTTATTCCCTCCCTAACTTCAGGGGAAAATCCCTACCTGGGGAAACAACCTTTCTCAGAGACCTTGGTTAAAACACATAGTGCCAAGAAGGTGAGCAAACATATTAAGAACAGTATGCCATATATGCCAGGTCCCTTGAAACAGCAAGGATGGACCGGCTCCCGGCAAATTCCCCCTTTTTTATTTTTTAAAATCGGGCATTAAAAAGAAAAACCCGAAATGCTCTCTTGTATCCATTTTAAGAGTAGGATTGGCGCTTTCCACTATTACCTGAGTCCTGATCTATCACCCCAGGGAGAGCTTGCCAATCCTGCACTTTCCCAGGGTGGAAAGGCTGCAGTGGGGTTAAGGATAAGGCTCCTTAGGCCTACCTCCTCCCATGCCTTTACATTTACCTTTCCTTCCTCAGAAAAGCATGGACATACTTCTTGTATAAAACGTTCTGTCTGACTGGGAGTAACCTTAATTCCTCTGCTAGCAAGCATATGTGTTAAAAGATCAATACAGAGTCTTATTTCTTTAGACTCAGTATGGCACATTTTCTTAATCTAAAGATCAATACAGAGTCTTCTTTCTTTGGACTCAGTATGGCACATCTTCTCAATCTAAGTTCTGTACTATTCACCTTCTTACCCTACTTATCCTCTATAGGGGGGTCTGCAGTACCCTGGTGGAGTCCTATCCGTCCCGAATGTGGGGGTTCTCAATGGGGGGGGGCTTACCTAGGGGAATCCTGTTCCTGGGGTTCCCAAAGGTGTGGACGGAGTCGGCGAAGACTATCCACCCTCTTCCTACGGTGGAGTCCTATCCGTCCCGAGTGCGGGGTGCTTACCTAGGGGTCCCTGTTCGGGCGCCATATGCCGGGGTCCAACCCCAGCAGGTCCAGGGATCCCCAAAGGCGTAGACGGAGTCGGTGAAGAAGGAAGGACACGGAGACAGTGTTCAGTTGATCAGCAGCCTAGCCAGGATCTCCAGCCAGGATCTCCAGCCAAGTTCTGGTCTGGATCTCCAGAGAGGTTCTGCTTAGGATCTCCAGCCAGGTTCTGTATCCATGTTGTCTTGCTAGGTCCTCCAGCCAGGTTCAGT